AAAAAAAAAAAAAAAAAAAAGGCACGCTCCGCTCCAGCTCCGCACCACCCCGCACGGCAGGTCCGCTGGGCGCCGCCCCTCCTGTCAGCCTCCACCAGTGGGCTGGCTCGCCGAGCGCACCCCCCCCAACACGGCATGAATAATCATGAGCTGGAGGAGGGAGCTCATTGGGAGCAAGTTTCCTGGTTAATGCTATTAATTCTAATTAGCCAGGCAATGAGAATGAGTTCTGGAGACTAATTGGTGCGAGTCATGCACTCCTGATCTTCACATTTCTTATTAATTCAGCTATTTTATCTCCACCGCGGCACCCTAAAAGAATGAGCCGAAAATAGGCCCTAATCTGAGGCTGCGAATCAATTAGCTTCCCCCTGGATGAACTCTGCAAGGGCTCTTTTTTTTCCCCTGCTTACTTTCTCCTACCTGAGGGAGCATGAGTAGGGCAGTGGTGAGAGTTGGGTATGGTAAAGGTCACAGAGGTAGGCAGACCTCACTACAGTGCACTCTGCAGATCAAATAGTGCTCGAAAGGGCAGCGGACATCAGAGCAGACAGGTGGTGGAGGGTTTATTCAGCATCATGGTGCAGAAACTTCACGTGAAGGAATGATGCTGCTCTCATAAAAACACATGTTGAGGTGTGCAAGCAGAGGAGAAGCCGAAGTCACGTCGTTACAGTGAAGTCTTCCTCTTTTGTGTCTCACATTTTCAGAGCTGCTTGTGCATCAGCATCCAGCACTCCCAAACTCTTTGTTCTCGCTGTTGAGAGGAGAGAGAGCTCTGCAGCAGAGAGGAAAGGGAAGGAGAGGAAAGAAGTGCGAGGGGAGGAGAAGGGAGAAGGAGAGGTGGTAGAAAAAGAGGATCGAAGAGCAAAGGGAGACGGTGGGAGGACGTGAGAGACAGAGCAGGAGACATTGAAAGAAGTGCAGGGACATGCTGTGGTGTGAGCGCTCCGTACTGCTACAATATGACTCTGACAGGCTTATGTAACCAGACTGGCCTGGCATTTGGCTCACAGCAGACGCCGGCTGCACTGAGTGTTATATAACTGCATTAGCTGCTCCTCTGAGCTGAGCGAGAGCATGCGCACATGAGGCCAAGGCACACTCGCACAAAACACTCTCAGACTTCCAGACTTTTGGACGGAGCGACTGCTTTTTGCACTGCAGCTCGGAAAGAGAGAGGATGCAAGATGAAAAACAAAAAAAAAAAAAAGCAAAGGAAGTTCATCAGAGCAGGTCTATTAGTGTTCTACTGACTGGAGAGAAACAGTCAGTCTGTCAGGCATCAGCATCTTCGCTTCCCATCATCCAGCAACAGGTTTCCCATCCTGAAAAGCCTAATTAGGGCTTAATGTTGGGTAAATGTTTCCAGTGCGCATGCAGTATGCCAGCAGGGTCCAAACTCAATTAGCTCCCCTGCATGCGGAATATAATTTAATGGACCTGGATTACACTCTTAAAACCCAATTAGACCTCAGATGGGCATTTCCAGTCATTCTGTCAAAGAGACGGTCAGAGATGCACGGTGCTCTCACACAGTCTCCACCAGCAGCAGGCGCATCGCTTCATGTGTTGTAGCTCCTAAAACAAAGCTGAAACATGCTTGACTACAGAGAACAAACTGGACGAGTGAACGCAAAAATGCAGCCAAACGCTGACATTTCCGAGCTAATGTGAGAAAATGGAAGTGCAGATTAAGGTCAGGGCTAACACTGCAAGTGATAACCATTGTCTCAGTCAATCTGCAATTAAAAATCCCAGGATGCCTAACCAAGCATGGCTGCAGAGCTGTGCTAAGTGGCTCATAATCAGCACTTTACAGCGTCTGATCTCTTATTAGAGCGACAAATTGCATCTGATGATAACAGAGGAAATGAAGGTGGGATTTATGACACTGGAGCCAATGGCCAAAGACAGCCAGTGTCTTAAATCTATCCTAGGAGGGGGGGGAAAAAAAGACGAGTTCACATTTGTACACCTGATGATAACGGGGGGAAATAAAAGTGCGATTTATGACGCTTAGCTAATTTGTTCTCCGATGCTGTTGGCTGTGTTCAGAGGCTGTTAAATTTCAGATGGGACTAATGGAGGGAGAGCGTAGCGCAAAGAGTTCTTTAGCCTCATGAAGCCTGATGCTTTTCTGCTGTACGTGCTCGAGCCACCGAAAGAGGAGACAGTTTTTAAAGAGTAAACGATTAGGAGATTCAGAGGAAGATGATGCACGTCTGCTCCCGTTGGAGGAATGACATCACATCTATCAGTCCGGTGGTGAGTTTACTACAAACGTCTGTGCAGCCGACGGTGATTGCACAAGACTGGACAGGCACCCTCTTCCGTGCGTCTGAGCCGTGAAGTGAAATCATGTGTCAGGATGGTGTTCAGTGAACTGCTGCAGAAAGCCAAAAGAGGACTTCTACTCTGCAAAACACTCGTGCAATGTGCAGTGTTCCAAGCTTCACAACAAGTCAAGTGCAGGAACATGAACATTTACACATATTATGTCCATCGCTCTAGTTCTTGCTCTTTATATTTGGTGCATTACTGCTTTATATTCCCTGTTTATTTTCTTCATATGGAGCCATGTTGCATAATTTTACAGCAGTGTCAATATCGTACGCAGATGTTACAGAAGAGACACATTCAGTGAACAAAATGATATTTTCTACAGCGCTCGGCCTCATGCTGGATCTGCTGTCCTTGCTGCTGCAGTTGTGTAATGCTGCTGCTTTATTGTTTTGCTCATATTTAGGGCCCGAGCACCAAAAGGCGACAATCCCCTCTTGTATCTGTATTATTAATATCATTACTATTGTTATAGTTTCAAATGAATCACATTTTTGAGGCGCTAAAGGTGCTCAAAAGCTAACAAAAGCTTTACACAAAGTTGAGAAATGGTAGAAATTGTTATTGATCACAGCTCTGTGGCGAGGATGTGGGAAAATGGCTCCTGCAAAACTTACATGTACCAAATTTTGTAGCCACTTGTTTCATGTCCTCAGGTCAGCCTGGAGTTTAACAAATTCCTCCTACTGTTTGAATCATAGTAACTTAAGTTTTGGCCGTTATCATCTTAAGACATTTGAGATTCAAAGTTCTCAAAATTGAGACGTTTTATTGAATGTTGTTGTGGCAGAGATAGATGTAGATGTAACTCAAATAAACATTGTCCACATGTATGATGAGCATCCATCCATCATCTATACACCGCTTAATCCTCACTAGGGTCATGGGGGGCTGGAGTCTATCCCAGCTGACTCAGGGTGAAGGCAGGTTCACCTGGACAGGTCACCAGTCTATCACAGGGCTACACTTAGAGACAGACAACCAAGCACACTCACATTCACACCTATGGACAATTTGGAATCACCAATTAACCTCAACATGTTTTTGGACTGTGTGGGAGGAAGCCGGGGAACCTGGAGAGAACCCACGCTACACGGGGAGAACATGCAGAAAGATTCCGGTGTCCCCACCGGGACGCGAACCGGCAACCTTCTTGCTGCGAGGCAACAGTGCAACCAACTGCGCCCCATTTGAGATTCAAAGTTATCAAAATTGGGACGTTTTATTGAATGCTGTTGTGGCAGAGGTGCAACAACTTTTTATAAGTCGATGTAACTCAAATAAACATTGTCCACACGTATGATGAGCATCTCAGCCTAAACACATCTACATGTCAACATTGGGCTACAGTCAAAGTGACACCTGCCAGCCACATAAAGTCCACCTTGTGTGACAAACACATGATGTACAGCAGCAGGATGTGTGTTTGTTGTGTGCTCTCTGTAAGTCACAAGACTCAATAAGTCAACATCCACCTCTGTGGAGTCTTGGCAGAACATATAAGTGTCTTTGTTCCTGCATTAAGTGATGTTCACCAGACTGTGCACTTGGGTAGACCAGCGTCCCGTCAGCACCCCGACAAGAACGAAGGCGTGAGGTCGTATATTTAATTTCTAAATCTACATTTTTTTAACACTGTTTACTGTCTTCAAATACTTTTACTATGTTTTTTTCTTTATGGTTTGACAGTTATGTGCGGTTGTCTGTCCACAGTGAACTGGGGTAAGAGGCCCCCCTTTAAGAACAATGTCTTTTTTCTATTTAAAATATAGAGTATCAAAACAATAAGTACACAAGGGCTACGGGTAAATGAACAAATACAGAGGGTAAGCAAACTGTAATGGAATACAACTTGTCTTTTTATAAAAACCAAGTATAAGAACCTGAAATGCCATTTTGGTAAATACAAAGTTATTTATTTACTATTTTAATGTATTTTTTGATGTTGCTCTTACTTTAACTGCAAAAAACTTGGATACAACATACAGAAATGATATTTTATTTAAAAATAGTTTGATTATTGACAATTGCTTATCAACAAAAACAGAAATTAAATACCAGAAGTCAGAAGTTTTTTTTAATCACCAGGGTTAGCCTACAGTAGCACAAAAATAGTACAAAAAAAGTGTTATTTAAAGTAATTGAACACCCACTTCTTGTGAGTTTTCAAATGTATATTCACATTAAAAAACACATAAGCTGATTTTCTACGGCCAAAATATGACATCAACATACCTCAAATCTAATCTTTTCGATTTCCTCATAAAATAACTTCATAGCTATTTACAAATTATCGAGGCTGTTGTCTTCCAAAAAAAGAAATGAAAACTCTGTATTTAGTGGTCAGGAGGGGAACTGATGTGAAATAAAATGAGTCTTACAACTAAACTGTGACACAATCCATCACGTCAGGGTTGTAATGGATCAGCTGCATGAGGGGTGGTGCTGTGGGAGGGTGGAA